AGCCTGTCCCACAATGATCAACATGGCCAGGAATCCCAGGGGGACCTGGCAGCTGAGCAACCTAATCTGGAGGGTGTGAGGCTGACCACCCTTCCTAACCCCATGTGGACCAGGGTAGGCAGGATCCAGCACGTACAAGCTGACATTTGCCAGAACTACCAAGTGTGGTGATACTTTCCCCTGGGCCTTTTTCTTCTACTCTGCAAAGAATATGGGAAGGATGGGCTCTAGGTAACGGAATGGCCTGCAGTATCTCCTTGGGGCACTCTGGTTGGATTCTCTACTCTCTAGCCTAGTGCAGGGGCAGCCCAGGAAACAAAAAATGCCTCTACATGTGAGAAGCACATTGCCAGGCAAGCTCTTTGCAGGGCAGCTGAGCAATTTAAGTTGAGGTCTGGAGGATGAAAAAAAACAAAACAGTGTCCTTGTGAGAGGAGGAGGGGGAAGAGGGCACAAGGTAAGTGCATTGCAGCTGGAGCATAGAATCCGGTGAACAGAGTGCAGGTGGGGATGGGGAGGAGGGGTGCCAGAGAGAGAGAGAGATGGGGCTGAAGAGAAAAGCAAGACCTAGACTGTGTGGGACTTGTCAGCTGATGCTTGGGATTTTTAGTAAAAGTAAAGAGAAATAGCAACAGAAAGGCTTTGTTCAAAGTACTTGATTTCAGATTTGAGTTCCACAAAGCTCATTCTGACTGCCTGGTGGCAAATGGATTGTAAGGGGTGAATGGATATATTCAAGAGATATTTAAGAAGTAGAGTAGGAAATATTTGTTGACGGTTTGGAGTTGGGTGTTGATTTGGCAAAATGCTACGTGTTTGGCTGGGCAACTGGCTGCAGGTGGTAGCATCCACTGAGACAGGGGACTCCTGGGATGAGCCAGGTTTGCAGGGAAATGACATCTCATTTTAGATATGATGAATGTGAGTTATCACTGTGACATGCCAAGTAAAGATGGCTGGTGGGCAGTTTGGCATTTTGTAAAAAAAAAAAAAAAAAAAAAAAAAAAAAAAAAAAAAAAAAAAAAAAAACATGGCTAAAGACCTAGATTTAGGTGTCAGGATACAGAAGGAAATTGAAGACATGGGAGTTGCTGAGAGGACCAGGGAGCTTATGCAGCGCAGAGGACACCCCAGAGAGTGCAGCGTCTCTGACAGGGGAGAAGACCGACAAGGCGAGAGTGGGCAGCAGAGTTCGGTGCTCTTTTTTTTTCTTTTTTTTTTTAAATATATTTTATCAGTTCGTTGCTCTTTTTTAAAAAATATATATATTTTTATTGATTTTGTACAGAGAGGAAGGGAGAGAGATAGAGAGTTAGAAACATCGATGGGAGGGAGTCATCGATCAGCTGCCTCCCACACACCCCCCACTGGGGATATGCCTGCAACCAAGGTACATGCCCTTGACCGGAATAGAACCCGGGACCCTTCAGTCCCCAAGCCGACGCTCTATCCATTGAGCCAAACCGGTCTCGGCAGTTCGGTGCTCTTGAAGGTTAAGGAAATGATAGCGACTCCTGTCCTTGGACTTAGTGGAGGCCATTGGTGATCTTTAACTACAGCTTCAGTAGAATGATGGGGCAGGAGCAGGGACAGAAGCTTGCTATGAAGAGGAGAGAGGAGCAGTGATAGCTGGGTGGATGTGGATGAAGAAGGATTTCAAAAATACAGTAGAGTCTTGACATGAAGACTCTACTGTATTTTTGGTGTGGGGAAACAGCTGCTGGAGGGCGGGAGCGAACGCTGCAGGAGGGAGAATGGCTGTCCAGGACAGCAAGGCCTGGGGAGGAGGAGGCCTGGAGCACAGGCCAGGGGGCAGGCACACCTGGCCATGGAAAAGGGCATGGGAATCCATCCCACTTTAGTAACAAGAAAGAGGGGAGCTGAAACCTGTTTGGCTCAGTGGATAGAGCAGAGCGTCGGCCTGCGGACTGAAGGGTCCCAGGTTCGATTCCGGTCAAGGGTATGTACTTGGGTTGCGGGTACATCCCCAGTGGGGGGCGTGCAAGAGGCAGCTGATCGATGATTCTCTCCCATCGATGTTTCTAACTCTCTATCCTTCTCTCTTTCTCTCTGTAAAATAATCAATAAAATATATTTAAAAGGAAAAAAAGAAAGAGGGGAAATATGTATGAGGTTGCAGGTAAGCTCATAGATTTGGCAGCAGAAAATTGAGAGAATGCCTAACCAATGGCAACTTTTCTTTTCTCTCTCTATGAAAGTAGACTAAGGTCAGGGGATAGAAATTTGGAAGCAGTATAAAGGAGGTTAGAAATAACCATGACATAAAATAGGAGTATTTAGAGATACAAAGACTCAAGAAAAAAAATATGGAAAATTTTAAGAGAAAAATTATTTCCCCCTCAATTATTTGAAGATAAACCAAAGTGGTTTTCAAAAAAAAAATGTTATTTTCTAATTTTTGTGGTGTTCTTAAAAGTATTTGCTCACTTTCCCTCTGGCTGGGCATGCCCTCCCCTCGGGAAGTGTGTGGTGGCTGTGGCTCTGTGGATGGTGCAAGAATACAGGCCGTGTCCCTCAGCTCTATTTACACAAGGAGGACCTGGGCTCTTGCTTTATGCATGGTCACAGCTGTGTGTGACCTGTCTGCTGAACTGCAGACCCTCCTGTCTGCCAAGCTCCACCTGCCTGGATGGCAAAATCCAGACCCTTCTCTAAGGCTGACCTCAGGGAAGGGGGCGGGGTCAGCCTGGCACTGCAGGGTCATTAGCTGGTCCTACTGGCCACCAAGTGAGGAGGGGGAGACACATCTGGAGGTGGGCATGGTGGGCAGAAGCGGGCTGGAAAACTGGGAGTAAGGGGGTTATGGGAGGAAGGGGTGCCTGCCGGAACAGAGCAGAATAGCAGAGTAAATAGAAAGTCCTGAAGCCTGCTCACTTGCTCCAGCTGTCAAGAAGGGGAGGAGAAACCCTGTGGGACTGAGGAGAAGGGAGGGAGCTGTTAGGAAGTTATTTAAGAGCCAACTTTCTTGTTTCTTCCTGAGTCTTTTTGAGGAAGTACCCTAGAGACCCAAAGAGCCAGCCTGTGCTAGGACATCTCAGAAGGGGACCACAGGTAAGCAGCCGGCCTTCTGGCCAGCATAGGCTTAACCCCACACCCAGAGCCTCCCCAAAGCCCACTGTGTCCACCCCCTGAAGAAGGGTCCCTCAGGGGACTGCGGGGACTGCCAGGGGCTGGGGTCAGAGGCAGCCCCACTTGAGCCATTGCCTGTTCTTGGCCCCTAACTCCGCACCTACCTGGCCTCTCTTCTGAGCAGGACTTCTCTCAGGTACCCCATGAAGCTTTCTTGAAGGCATTGCTTGCTAAGAAGGCCACCCAATGGTAATGGGGAGATTGGGGTCCTCAGGGAAGCAGACTAAGAAGAAGGGACACAAGGGTTGGAGGGAGGAGGAAGGAGGGCTGCATCGCCCTGTGGGAGCTGAACTTGAACACCTTCTCTTCCCCCAGACCAGGGAGAAGGGGTGCCTGTGACCACCTGCACAGGCTCTCAGGTCTCTGCTGTAGGGGTGCTCTCTCAGCTGGTAACCGTATAGTTCTGTGCTGTGCTACTCTAAACCCCCTCCCTCAGGGACCCACAGCTGCCCCTTGCTATTTCCACCAGAGGTCTGCTGTTTCCTGCCTTCTCTCCCCTTCCTTCCTTGCCTCCCTCCTTCACTAGAAACTGCCTGTAAATATGCCTGCAGATGTTTGTGGGCGTCTGTGCCCACCTTATACTTCCAAACAGTCCTGTCTCCTTCCAAGACCAAGCACCTTAGAAGTGATTCTCTTGTTTTCAACTGTGTTGCCTTTGCTTAACATGTTCTGGAAAGGTCTCTTCTAGCTGCTCCTATAACAGTGGCTCCTCATCTTTTGAGGGCGTGCCAGTTTTTTCAAAATAGCCAAATCACCAGGAGTCGTGACTGGGTAATCCAGGTGATTCAGGGACGCTTCACTGGTGCCAGAAACAAGGTCTCCCTTCATTTGCTCAGTTGATCAACAAGTAGTTTTTGGGCACTGGCAGTAAGGTGTGGCATTCACCCTGGCTCTCTGCCTGCCCACATTCCAACGGAAGGGAAGCAGGTTGGAGTTAGGGCAGTGCCCGCACCACTGAGTACACTAGAGAATGGGCCATTTACAGCCCTATCTAAAATTGCAATGTGCCTCGCTCTCTCTCGCCCAAACTCTCCATCCCCCATATTCTATTCCTTGTGATCCTGGAGCCAAAGCAGGTACCACCTTCTCGCACCCTGCCCAACCATCAGAGGTCTGCTGTTTTTGCAGGAAAAAGCAAAGGGAGACTGTGAGCCCCCGAGGGAAGGGGATTTGGGGGAGCACAGCACAGAACTATGCAGCTATGCAGTGACCAGTGAAGAGAGAACCCCTAAAGCAGAGATCTTACTTCCAAATTTTTTGTGCTGGACCCTAACTGCCACTAGACCAAAAGCTTCCCAAGGCAAGAATATTTCTGTCTTATTCTGAGGTATCCCAAGTGCCCAGACTACAGGGGCCCTCAGTAAATATGGGTTGAATTAAATTGCAAATATGAATGCTTGGGAAGATGCAACTTACTTGCACACAGTTGTCTGAATTTATTCTTCAAAGATTATATGAAGGCGGGCACGTGTACATGCACACGACAGTAAACATTTCTTACAAACATTTCTACATTTCTTACAAAATATGGCTTTAGGGGGAAGAGGAAAAACCCTTGCTCCCCAAGTCTGTTACATTTTTTTTTCTTTCTTCACATCAGTTCCCTTGCTTCTGCTTTCCATATGCTTTGACAAATTTCCCCAAGATCCTCAGGGAACTCTACTCCATCGTTAGACTACCCATCACTGCCACTTCTCAGTTTTTATTTATGTGAAACCCAAAATGTGCTGCTCAAGTGCTATCACACAGTTATGTGTCTGCGTCTCTATTTTTAATCCTTGTGTCAAATGTAACTGGCTCCGCATTCCTTTCCCATGTGTCCTCCTCACCAAGGCCTCGAGAAACTGAAGATGACGGAGACCCCCAGGCCCGCCTTTGGAGGCAGGAGAGCTATCCCCCTCAACAACTCCAACGCGGAAGAGAACAACCCCCCCACTGTGGAGCTGCAGGGCCTGGTGCCCCGAGGCGTCAACCTGAAAGGTACAGGCCCCTCTGGCCCAGGCACAGCCGCTGGCCCTCCTCCCACAGGCACTGGCTCAGCCTCTGTCTCCCACAGAGCATCTCTGTTTTAAAGAAAGGCCTCCAAAATTCTCCTTTGCAAGGCCAAATCAATGATAACATAATTCTTGCTCCAATTCTGCCACTTAATAGCTTTGTACACTCAGGGACTGGGAAGCAAGGGCACTGGCTTCGTAGTGGTCTCTTCCAGCCCCACCACTCTGTGTTTAAGAATGTTCTCTGGCTGGAAGTTTCCACTCCAAATATTGTTGCTGTTTTGATTGTCTGGCTTGCACCACCTTCCTTCTCCCCCTCCCTCCTCCCTCCTCCAGCCACTGCTGTGAATTTCAGAGCTGGTGAGAGAGCCAGCCTGACAGTAATGGAGATGGAAGCCCTCTATTTTTCTGCAGAGCAGCCCGAAGGGCAGGCGAGGCAAGCTGCCTTCCCTGCTCTGGCCCCACCGATCCCCAGGGACCTGCTCTGGGAACAGCAGCCAGCAGCTGACCTCCCCTCAGCCCTGTCAGCTGTGACAGGGCCCAGGTGCCACTGGGGGCTTGGTGGTACAGACATCATTCTCTTGGGCCAGGCAGGGACATTCAGACTCTTGTTCCTGAATGGCATCTGGCAGGGAGCACTTTTGGTCAGTAGCACACATGTACCAAGACCCACTATTGCTCCTGAGGGTTCCACCCGGGGGGTAAACACCCACTTGCTGGGGTAGGCGCCATGGCCACCAGTGCCTGTGTGGTTAAGCCACCTCCTCAGAAAGAGCCCAGCAGTTGAAAGCTAAGGAAAGTACAGTTCTGAAGGTCAGACGCCACCGGATGGGTAGAGGGCTCTGTCTCCGCCACCCTAAAGTCCAGATGATTTGATATCCAACTGTGAAAACAGAGAGATATTCAGTACCATCCTTTCTTCTTTCCTTTCTTTCTTTCTTTCTTTCTTTCTTTCTTTCTTTCTTTCTTTCTTTCTTTCTTTCTTTCTTTCTTTCTTTCTTTCTTTTTAATGCAAATAAGTTGGGAAAATGTGCTGATGTCAAATTATCAAGCAGGTTACCTTGATGGATTCAGTTTTCTAGCAAAATTCCCTTCTGGCAGAGAAGCCCGTGGGCCACAGGGCAGGGTGCTGGAGGAAGTGGCAGAGAACTTGGGGGGCGGAGGGGCTCAGACCCATCGACCCATCGCTGAGGACTGTGAGCCTGCACAGAGGCAGTGAGGGAGGTTCCTGTTCCACAGCTGCCCTCGCTGCCCTGGGACTCAGAGCAAAGTCAGGTAGGTGCCCAACCCCAGTGTTCCCATCAGCAAATGGAAGCAACTTCACAGTTGTCTTGAGGATCAAATGGCCAGTGCCTGTGGGAGTCCCTGGCCCACCGCACATGACCAATAAGTGCTCACTGGTTTGGAATGTCAGTCATTACACCCTGCAGGGTTTCTAGGGGGGATATGTACAGTCTACTCTCCTGTATATCTGAAATCTGAACACTATGCTGTTGTCAGTGAGAAATCAAAACTGCCAGAGAACTTGAGTGCAGAGGTCAATTTTAAAAGAACCTGGTTTTACTGTTTTTTGTTTATTTATTTTCATAGGCAGATGTGAGAATTATTTTGAACTAAATTATTTTGAAAAAAAAAAACACACATGTACTTATTTGCTTGGTAGTCATATGTCCACAACCAAGTGATATTCTGGGATAGTTTTATAGACCCTGGCATAGGAGTGTGAGTTCCCAACAACTGTTTGTAAAATGAACAGTCGATGGCTTGAGAATTGAATGACTCATCAACCCTGGAGTCATTATGACCCTATTATTAGTAACAACTTCCAGATTTCATAAACATGCACCCATTTACTATTTCTCACACAGAGCAGCTAAGTGCTACATGCTATGAGTGTAGTGTCTTTGAACCCACAAAACAGAATAGTAAGTCCCAGATGAATAAGACAGGAAAAAAAGTAACAGCATATAGATAATCTGACCAGGTAAATCTATCTCCTAGTTATTTTTTGCATTTTTCTGCTTAACTGTGCTAAAAAGGTTTTCTGGCACTAGATATATCCATTTCTCCCCATGTGTCTAAATGCCTTGTGTATAAAATGCCATCTCCTTGCAGTTCATCCAGTGGCCACTAGTGGCTCCAAGAGGACTTGTATCTCCCTGACTCCCTGTATGACCATGACTTTGGTTCCAGGCACACAAAGCCCTAAATCAGACTCTCTCTCCTCATTTATTTCAATGGAAACTTTTTTCTAAAGTGTCCCTTCAGCAAGCTGCTCTTGTATAATTGACTGAGAAAGACAGACAAGCAAGAGGAGAAAGGGCGGGGTGGGGGAAGGGAGAGGAGATGGCAGATTTTTGAATAATCCTATGGCAGTCAATGTATAAAATATATACTGAGTGGGTATAATATCTTTAATTCACAGCTTGCATAATTATTTGGCTAAGAATTATTTTAGCCTAAAACTCAAATGTATAAACTTGAGTAAGGCTCCTCCCATACAACAGCACAATATTTACGAAAAATTGAAATATTTGAGGTGACAATGGAACCTTGGAACTGGGGTCAGTCAGGGTGTTTGATGTTCTTTGTGTTTCTAAGGCTCATTAATGCCCCTCTTTGAACTCAGTTATAGCTGAGAAAAGTATGTGAAAATCTCCTTAGATTGTTGGAATTTGCATCTATTCCTAATAGACTGATCTGTATGCACTGCTGGTGTTTCTGAAAAACCACTCCATAACCTTCTTGTCTCAAAGGTTATTTTAGCAGGAGATATAATGTTCAGGATCACAACCTCATATGCTTGGGCTCGTTTGACTCTGTATTATTAACAATAGGTGATCATTTGCAGGAGTAAATGTAACACTAATTTGGCAGGTTTAATGCACTGAATTCAAACTGGAAAGCAAGTCTAGATCTATTTTTAAAAATCAAATGCAGGCAGAATCTAAGTATTTATTAGCTTAATGAGGTCTTGAGTCTTTCTGAGCATTTCTTCTCTCCCCACCACTTCAAGCCAGAACTAAATCAACTAGTTAACTGGTTAATAATCAATCTGCCCTTTGTGTAGAGTAAATGTCTCTGGATTCAGGGTTACTGAAAGAACAAGAAAGGCACTCACTTTGATTATGATTAAGAAATGATGCATAGAAGCAGTTCATCCTTTCATTTGTTTGAGAAAAACCACATAGTGATGACCACTTCTGTGTCAGGAGCTAAGCCACACTCTCTGGGGAGACAAAGATGAGTAAAACAGTCCTGTTCTCAAGCATCTCTCCACCTAGTAGATGGAACAAATTAAAAGAATGACTAGTAGTGTCAGTGGAGAGGAAAAGAGGGTGAGAGAGATAAATAGGAGTGTTCCAGGTAGACAAGTGCATGGCATCCTATTTATAGCAGAGGGAACAATATTTGTCAAGTAATGAGGACAAGAGAGAAAAGATGAGCCCAGGACAAATAGGCAGGCATCACACCGTGACAGGCTTGGAAGCCCTTACTTTTCCTCCTGCTTGCAAAGATTCCAAACAGCGGAATGGCATAATCAGAATTATGTTGTATAAATGGAAATCTCATGGTGAGGAGAAACTGGACAGGGATACATTTAGAAGCTGTTGAGATGCTTTGGGGCACAAAGAAATTGACTAGAGGGCTATTAGTCCCTGGAGAAGATGTTGGCCTCGTTTCTCTTATTCTGGCTTCCTCTAAGCAGCTGAGCATTTCTTATACATTCTAGGTACAGGACATTTTTAATAGCAACAGTTAAAAAACAAGCTGATTACAAAAATGTTTTTAATCTGTCTAGTTAATGATACTTTAATGACTATCCAAAAGAAATATGAGAGAGAAAAAAAACCCCTTTGTTCTGTAGTTTTCACAATAAACAGATCATCTTCCTCATGGATAGTATATATGCCTATCATTTGGTAATAATATTAAAAAGATTGCATGGAGAATTCAATTCACAAGGGAATTCGGAGGATATGAACCTAAACATTTAACTTATTTCAAGATTCCATCTGTGACAGGTATAATCATTTTTGGAAGAATGTTTGTATAACCAAAGCACAATATAATCCACTTTTTACATATTAGGGAAAGAAAAGGTAGGGGGACAAGGAGGCAGCTGGCTCATGGGGAGAGGTTATTTTTTAACAAGCTATTTTCTAATGTGTTTAAAATTAGGCTAAATTGTGGTAGGTAGACTTTTTGAAAGCTGTCACTTTGAAAGAGTGAGCTGCCAAGTTTCCAGCTATAATATTTCTCTAAAAAACAAAAAGTGACTTAGCAATGAGTTGCCCCATTTTGCCAGGGACTTGGCTTGGACAGGGAGAAGCAAATTAATTTCCTGTTTGTGGCAAATGGAGCTTGGATGATGAGATGGCTTTTTTTGGTTTAAACTACATTTTGTTAAGCAATAAACAAAGCAGAAATCAATATGTTGGCTTAACAAATGTATTTCAAGTACCTCCTCCATGGGAAGGGGCAATACTAAGAAAAATGAACAATAGGGGAAAAAAAGAAAGAAAACTATGATATTTGCAAGCCTGTGCTTGACTTGATCCCTAGATGACTCTCCTGTCTCTGGAGTCCAGAGCAATTAAAGAAGTGTTTGACCAGTGGTATTGGGACTTCAGCTCATTCCCCACCATTGGGGCAAACCCTAGTAAGTCTATACCTCTTAGGTCAGAAGATGACACTGGAGACCTGGCTCCATGTCCTTCTCCTTCTAGAAAATAAACCGTGTGTCATATAAGTCCCACTATAGGCTAGAACATTGTTTCTTTAAACTCTAGACTTAGTGTACCCTTTAAGCTTTCATAATTTAGTCTTTTATTTCTAAATAAAATGTTTTTCTTAGCTTAAATGATAATTTTAAGAGATTATATAGAGAAATTTTATTTACCTACATTTGATTTTTCCCCCCTATTTAAAGTACCAATGTGATTTCCTATGATTTTTTTTCTTTATTCCTGAAGGTATTAAAAG